GATATGACTATAGTGCAGTGCATGCAGTGTCATAAATTGCAGTGCAAATATGATTTTCACCGATTGGGTGCACGAACCCGCCTCCCCAGATTGTAGTATCACCATTTTATTTTTATTTGTTCTGTGAAACACCTGCGTGCACAAATATGTGTTCATGTCATTGATATCTGGAGGAGCAATTGCACAATAGGCAAAAAAAAAGTTGTGTTACTGTCTAAACAAAAGAGAATATCCTATGTGCTTCTGTATTGACTACTAAAGACTATTCCAGGGTGCTTTTTTGGGGAAAATATATTAGGCTTCCATGTAAATGAACTGCAGTGTTGACTATTATCAACCTCATGAACCAAAATTTTGATATACCGCGACTCTATAACATTATCAGAGATTTGTTCATTCCAGGGGCGTCGGAAATTGGGGGAACCCCACCCCCTCATCCTTCCCAGTTAATAAATAAATACATAACCAAAATAGCATTCCTTCATTATGAATCTGAATTATGTTTTAGTTAAGTGATGTTTGGTTATGAAATTGTACCCCATTACGATAAGTACTGTGCAAAATATCTGTTGTTTAAATGGCATATGTGCATTTAATGTCTGTTCAGAATACTCATGCCTTAAGAAGAGGCAGAATTATACAGCAGTGGGTAAAAAAGACCATCTATAATTTCTGTGAATGAATGTGCTCTTCATCTCCATGGGATGTGTTGAGAGCATGGTCTTTCTTGTGCATTATGGAGAGCAATTTGGACCTCAGCCTTCTCTCCATTACTGTCTCCGCTGTGTCCAATTCCAGACCCACTTCAGAACTGGATTTTTTAATCAACCTGTTCAGCTTTGTAGCCTCCTGCTTCTTAAAATTATTCTCCCAACAGACAGCAGCAAAACTTCTATGAAGTGTGCTTCATGCTTCAAGTCACATGTGAGATGTCAGAAACACTTTTATTTAAAAAGTGTTAAAGTATGGTCAAAACGAAATGGAAATACATGGTTTCCTTCCCTGTTTGCAAATATACAACTATTCAGTAGAGCCATTTTCATTATTGCAAACAGAAGTCTCAAAATAAATACAGAAATGAATTATGCTTATATTAGTCCAATAAAGCTGCCTCAAACTAAAAGCCTTTCACTCCACTGTCTACCACTACGTTTTTATCAGTTTATGACATTGCTCTTAAAACAGAAGGTGAATGTTTATGAACAAAAAACCTAAAATCTAAATCTAAAACCTATTTTGCAAATGGCTATAAAAACAGAAGACTGACAACTATTGAAAGTATGTTAAATAACTGGATAGACCTTAATTTTAAGTTATTACTCTTCAACAAAATTAAACAAACATTGCAGATTATGATATTTTTTAACCTGTGAGCCATTTGTCAATGTTTTAAGAAGAAGTGAACCAGGTAACAATGATTCTTTGTCTTTTGCCTCCATCATCTTTACTGTGAGATGCTAACTGAACTGGTCTGATATTTGAGCTACATCCCTAAACCCTTATTTGTGCCGCCCTCCCTGGGTATATTTCTTTTGCGCTGGAACTTTTTCCAAATTCCAGATGCTGAAGTGCTGTCCCAGTACCTTAGGGAACAGTCATCCACGGCCAACTTTCACTCAAATCACCCTTTCGCTGGGGATGTGTGGAAGTCTAGTCAAGAGCACCCTTTGCAGAAGAGAAATCATTGGTGACACCCAGAAATGTTTTAATTTTTTTGTGGGTGTGGGGGCATAAAATCTTTAAATTCAGTGACAACCTCACACATACAGGCGGAGCATGGTAAGACAACACGGATGCAAGATACTGTTTTTTTGTCTGGGCTATCTTCCTCACTCACTCACTCACTCACTCGTTGACAGTTCTTGCATTGTTTACAACCATGGAGAAATTCTGTTAGTTTTGATTAAAAATCTTTAATAGAGCCCTAATTTTAATGCACAATAAAAGTATATAATTATAAAGGTTACTGTGTCATCATAAATGTGGTGTTGAAAGCATACTGATATAATGTATAAATTCAATATATTGTAGCGCCCAGTCCAAGATAACAGGTAAAACTTCTGATGGGGGGGTAGCGATGCTTAGGAGAAGCAAATGATACATAGTCACACCCAGAGAGAGATATGTGAATAAGCTTGTATTAGAATGAACACCATCCATCCATCCATCCATCATCTCCCGCTTAATCCGAGATCGAGTCGCGGGGCAGCTGTCTCAGCAGGGAAACCATGACTTCCCTCTCCCCGGCCACTTCATCCAGCTCCTCTGGGGGAATCCCGAGGCGTTCCCAGGCCAGCCGAGAGACATTGTCCCTCCAGCGTGTCCTGGGTCTTCCCCGGGGCCTCCTCCCAGTGGGACATGCCCGGAACACCTCACCAGGGAGGCGTCCAGGAGGCATCCTAATCAGATACCCGAGCCACCTCATCTGACTCCTCTCAATGCGGAGGAGCAGCGGCTCTACTCTGAGTCCCTCCCGAAGGCCCGAGCTCCTCACTCTATCTCTAAGGGAGAGCCCAGCCACCCTGCGGAGGAAACTCATTTCGACCGCTTGCACTCGCAATCTCGTTCTTTCGGTCACTACCCACAGCTCGTGACCATAGGTGAGGGTAGGAACGTAGATCGACTGGTAAATCAAGAGCTTTGCCTTTTGGCTCAGCTCTTTCTTCACCATGACAGACCGAAGCAGCGCCTGCATCACTGTGGACGCTGCACCGATCCACCTGTCGATCTCCCGCTCCATTGTCCCCTCACTCGTGAACAAGACCCCGAGATACTTAAACTCCTCCACCTGGGGAGGACGCCATCCCCGACCCGTAGAGAGCATTCTAGCCATTTCCAGCTGAGGAGCATGGTCTTGGATTTGGAGGTGCTGATTCTCATCCCAGCCGCTTCACACTCGGCTGCGAACTGTCCAAGTGAGAGCTGAAGGTCACGGTCTGATGAGGCCAACAGAACCACATCATCTGCAAAAAGCAGAGACCTAATCCTGAGGTCACCAAACCGGACACCCTCAATGCCCTGGCAGCGCCTAGAAATTCTGTCCATAAAAACTATTAACAGAATCGGTCACAAAGGGCAGCCCTGACGGAGTCCAACCCTCACTGGAAACGAGTCCGACTTATTGCCGCTCCTTGCGGACCAGGCTCTGGGACCGGTCATACAGGGACTGAACAGCCCTTAAAAGGAAGCCCAGCACCCCATACTCCCTGAGAACCCCCCACAGGACTCCCAGAGGAGAGTATAGAGCTGGTCCACTGTTCCACGGCCAGGGCGAAAACCACACTGCTCCTCCTGAATCCGAGGTTCGACAATCCGGCGGACCCTCCTCTCCAGAACCCCCGAATAGACCTTACCAGGGAGGCTGAGGAGTGTAATCCCCCTATAGTTGGAGCACACCCTCCGGTCCCCCTTCTTAAAGAGGGGGACCACCACCCCGGTCTGCCAGTCCAGAGGCACTGCCCCCGATGTCCACGCGATGCTGCAGATGCGTGTCAACCATGACAGCCCCACAGCATCCAGAGCCTTAAGGAACTCCAGGCGGATCTCATCCACCCCCAGGGCCCGGCCACTGAGGAGTGCATAAATAAAAGGTCTTCGAAGTACTCCCACCACCGACCCAAAACGTCCCGAGTTGAGGTCAGCAGCATCCCATCCGCACCATAAACAGTGTTGATGTTGCACCTAAAACTAATGTGTCCTAAAACTAGCCGGAACTTCACAACCTCAAGCACCAGCTCAGGCTCTTTCCTCATCAGAGAGGTGACATTCCATGTTCCAAGAGCTAGCTTCTGCAGCCGAGGATCGGATCGCCAAGGTCCCCGCCTTCGACCACTGCCCAGCTCACGTCGCACCCGACCCCTATGGCCCCTCCTATGGGTGGTGAGCCCATTGGAGGGGGGACCCACGTGCCTTGTTTGGGCTGTCCCCGACCAGGCCCCATGAGTACAGGCCTGGCCACCAGGCGCTCGCCATCGAGCCCCACCCCCAGGCCTGGCTCCAGAGGGGGGGCCCGGTGACCCGCGTCCAGGCAAGGGAAACCGTGGTTACATCTTCTTCTTCATTGGGGTCTTGTGAGCCGCACTTCGTCAGGTTCCTCACCCAGGACCTGTTTGCCTTGGGTGACCCTACCAGGGGCATAAAGCCCTGGGCAACTTAGCTCCTGGAATCATTGGAACTCGCAAACCCCTCCACCACAATAAGGTGTCGGCTCCAGGAGAGGTAGAATGAACACCTTTATTAAAAAATAAAATTGAAATAAAATAAACGGAGCGATAGAATAAGTTTAACAGGGTTGTTTCTCAACATGTGTACTCGACCGTACTTGTGTTTTCGTGTACCCATTTTATGTCATCTTCCATTGCTGAAGACCACTTCCAATACTCAAGAACATAAGTACAGAGGATGGCAATAATAATTCGTTCTTGCCCCATTCCAAATGTCAAGGGTACATCGGTTGCTTCCTCACCAAATTATTCATTGTGGCCCAAGTTCGTTCTTGGAAGCCAAGTTAGCAAGACTGATCTTGCCACAACCACAAGTATGATCTTTGCGTTCTTGATATTGAGAAACACCCCAGGATTCTGCACACCTGAAAGGACTGAAGACTCCTCAGGATGAAAAGTCTGCTTTGCCCTTTCCTGTAGACTGCCTCTACTGTATGTTGTCACTCCAGTCCAGTCTGTCATTGTTGCAGACTCCCAGGTACTTGTGTCAGTGGACTCCACACTCTCCCTGTGGAATTATGTAATAAATGCAGACTATAGCATTCTGAAGGAAAATAAATGGCAAATCTCCTGCGTATTATTAATCAGTAGACTACAGTGCATATGCAGAATAGTGAGCATTAATGTAATTCCTCTTGTTTTATGAATAGTGTTGCACCAGCCTCGTTGCCAAGGGCAGATATGACCAAGAATAAAAATGAGTACCAAAGCTCAGGCGTTGCATTTGGTTAAAAAAGTAGTGTTTTGAATGTTCTGCATTTCCTCTGGATGTTTCAGGAAGGACCAACACCTCTTGTCCCCAGTAAACTGCTGGTTCCTAGTCCTGAACCAGACAAGACGAGAAAGCAGGGACCACGCCACCCTCAGTGACATCTACAGCAACAACGTCACTGTGCGCCTTTCCCAAGTCAGCGAGGATGTCATCAGGCTCTTCAAAAAGGTCAGCTTGTGGGGAAACCCTCTCTAAATGTCTTCGTAGCAGAGTTATTTTAGTCTGGTCCTGGATAAGCGTTGAAGCATGGAGTTTAGTTTTTTAATGATGATTAATTGGGGAATTTGGTTTAGTACCAGTTGACTGGAGCAAGAGCCTGAAAATATGTGACTTACCAGGATCAGAGCTGGAGAGCCCAGCTGTAGCATGCAAATACGGAAAAAAATTATTCCAAGGGAAACTTGCTGTGCATGGTGCAAGGCATGCATTGAATTATGACCTTTGCATGAGAGATAACAGAAGTTAACCTGTGAGTGGAATAGAATTCGCAGAGAGCAACCTTATGAGAGTTTTGAGCTGCGAGCTGTGCCAGCCTACTCAGTGAGACCTGTGTTGGCACATGCCCATCAGTCCTGAGACCTTGTAGGGTGTCTCCTATCTGTGTTGTACATCATCCAAGGTGAGAGGAGCATGAAGAGCAAAATTACACACAGCAGGGGTGGAGAGTCTGGAGTGTGAAATTTAAACCACCCACCTGTCACCATTCAAGGCTGTTACACTGCAAATTTTAAACAGGAAAATATGGCCTTTTTCATTGTAGCTACAGTATGGTGCTGGATTGCAGCACCCATATGCTTGTAGTGGGAATGAATGCATTTAGTTTTAAGCAGAGCTGAATCTTGATATAGAAATGTCACAGTGTTTACTTCAGCATATTGTTTCCTGAACTCCATACTTGTATTGACTAGTGCATATTAAATTCCATTATGTGAGATATAGAATAATAGATATACAGTAAGGATTACTGGAAAAAAACATAACAGAAACGAAGGACAAAAGACTCGAGGGCAAGCGGGTCTTTTGATGTTACTGGACATAAACTGGAAATAATCAAGATCACGAGGGATCAAAATGGGTGGTGTGGAGTAAGGTGCCCCCCCCACGGTATCCGGCGAACTGCTCGACGCAGGCAAAAAAATCACTTACGTGTTCACACTTCCAGCAGCGAACTGGCCAGCACTTGTGAAAGGCGCTGGACGGGTGAATATTACGTCATGAAAGAGCGCTTGCCATGAAAAAAAAGTGTGATTGTGAAGTGTTTCTTGGCTAAAACAAAATGAGTTATATTGTGGGTTTACAAAAAAAAAAAAGCTCTTGCTGTTTTGCTGCTGGGTTGAAGAGTGCGCTTTTATAAGCGTGTGCACTTTAATTCGCTTTAGTTTCATTAGCTAAATATGCTTATTAAAACCAAAGATTTTGTCACTTGCCTTTCTGGACACAGTCTAATGGGGCTTTCAGGCCAAACGCTGCATGCTCTCTCCTGCTGTAGGGCTGCCACATCCCTTCAGAAAACAGAGGTCTGTGCTCAATGCACAGGCATTTTTCAAAACACTCTTCCATCATTTTGTTGTTGCTCTGACTCACTGTCAGTCGCAGCGATGTATATTTCGCATGCTAAGAAAAAGGCACTAGCGCTAGCTTTGCTAGTTAAGATGGAAAGTTTGTGTCTTAAAGGTCTGGAAACTTATACACCAGGGTTATTCAAATCACGGTCCTCGAGGTCCGAGCACTGCTGGTTTTCCAGCCTTCCTTTACCTGTCAGTCAGGTGTGAAGCCTCTGACCAATCAGAATCAGTAATTATTAAACTAACTACCTGGGAGAACTGAAAACAAGGCCTGGATTTGTAATGGAGGTCCAGATTTGAAGAACCCTGTTATTCACGGACAATATAAGTTTCTCCTCCATTTTGATTTCTGCTCCTGGTTTGATGCCTTGTTAATATTGGTTGGTGACAATGCATTGACCGCGGTGCCGGCACAACACTAGGGTCAGGAATGAGAGATAAGGCAGATGAGTAACAGACGTGGCTTGTTAGGGCCATGCTAGTGAGGAGACATGAGGGTCAGGTGGACGTGGCGAGCAGGACGTGACAGCAGGAACATATTTCACTTACATGTACAGTATGTGAAGCATGTTGCTCCAGTTCACTTTAAATCAGGGGTGTCAAACTGCAGTCCTGGGGGGCCGGAGCCCTGTGTAGCTTAGTTCTTTCCTTGTTCCACCACAAATGATTCAGCTCAAGAGCTGTGTGGTAATTAGCACAAAGAGTTGTTAAATGAGGGGAAACCCAAAAATGTGCAGGGCTCCGGCCCCCCAGGACTGGAGTCTGACACCTGTGCTTTAAATGATGCAATGCTTTAGGTAAGCTAGACTTGGTAAGAAGCTTTGGGAAAGGATGGATGGATGGATGGACGATGACTCGGTCATGAACAGAGACACCAAATTCTGTATTCTTTTCATAAATGTGGAATATTCTATTAACATTTTCAGGCATTAGAAAGGAATTTTCAAATAGAGCAAAGGTGTCGCCGTTTGTAATGTTGTTTTTCTGCCTTTCTGTGCCAGGAAAACACCACCTCTAGGAATTTTTCAGCAGTTTATATTTGTTTTCCTTTCACAGCGTAATTCATAAAATATTTTCTCTGCATGAAAAGCCATTATATACCAACGCTGTGCCAGACAGACACTACGTGACTTTTACGGAAAGTAAATACAAGTATGAAAATCCATGTGGTGCATGAACAGGAGAGTAACGTCCTGTTATACATTTTCGTTGTTTGACTGGTAATGTTTTGTGTGTTTTTGTATTCCACTCTACCCAGGGAGGTATATTGCTCTGGAGGATCTTAAAGCGAGTAACAACACCTATATCGTTTAATAGTAACAGAGAATAGAAATAGAGAAATAGACAGAGAATTAGAACATTATTCATACTCAGTGTTGAAGCTGTTCTATAGATTAAAACGATGGCAATGGATGTTTTAGTCACAAATCCGTTTACACCGATGCTAATGCTTCTGACAGTTTATAGTTCATAACTTTAAATTGCAAAACATACTGCCACACTACCAATGTCTTTTTACCTTATTGACAAGATCTCCTTTTTAAAAAGTCAACGTGGCTGCTGAGTTGTCTCTTTCGTCATCAACACTGATAGTTCCCTCTGAGTCGGTGCTTATCTCTTCCACAGTATATTACCAAAACAGTAGCAGTTGGAGTCAGTCAGGAGACAGCTTCACTGTCTAATCTTGCTGTGCATTTGTTGGGCGTAGCTTGTCTGTTCTTGAGACTGCTATGTGATTGGTTCATTTCTGTAATGTGATAGGCTAATGTCTGCTATCAAGCAATGTTTTGAAGGTTCTCTTTCACTTATCATTTAAATTTAATATAATAATAAGTCGATATATTCAGTTTATACCACCCAGTCCTATCCCCTTGATACATTTCGCTGACTGAGAAGTTTTCAGTGGCGATCGGGTTCATGTCTGTACAGCGGCCCATTATAGACCGACCTGTGTTTCCCTGCCATAGTTCCATGACCTACTAGTGGCTGCTGCGGACAAGTGGTTGAGAAACACTGATATAATGTTAAATATTATGGCATTAAGTTTATTGAAGAATAAAGCATATCTATGTAATCCATTTAGATAATTATGTATGACCAAAAAATGTAACAAATTATTGATCTTCTATTAAATTTCCTTAAAGTAAGCTTATCTGTTTTCAGAGCAAGGAAATTGGATTGCAGATGCAAGAGGAGCTGCTGAAGGTTACAAATGAACTTTACACGGTGAGTACTCAGTCATTTACTTTACACGGTGAGTACTCAGTCATTTTCTGTAGCTTGGGCATAAGCTAATCAGTTCTTCATTTTCATATGAGTTTTTTTGTTCTGTGCATATGTTCAGTGCATATGCACTGTAGTCTACTGATTCATATATAAATAATTTTTTTTTTTAATTCTTAAATTAGACTATAGTGGCCATGGTTATTGCTTTAACTCGGGAAAAGGAATATCTACTAAATGAGAAAATGTACAATGAAGGTATAAGGCCTTCCTGCTTTGTATTATTTTTCAGTTTCCCTTAATTCTGCTTCAGATCTAATAGTTCATTTTTATTCAAATTTTATTAATTTAGTTTTTGATTCAGTGACACCTTGCCCATCACTTTTAATCTCACAATGCTCGCTGCATAGATAGTTTGTGTCAGCTTTATCAAACGTTTGAGAATGTGTATAAAATGGAAAAAAAAATGTAATCACTTAATAAATTTGCCATTTTAAATATTATGTAGCAGCAATATAATTAGTTGTGGTTTAAAGTTTATTTGTTCTGAAGTTTGCCTGCACTGTTTTTGTGTGAGCTCTGCATGCGGTCTCCCAGTCAATCATAATCATTTTCATCCTTGCTCACTCCTGGTATGACACCCTAATGAGAAATTTAACAAAGATGGGTAAGATGAACGTGTAAACAAGAACTGATCACCAGAAGGCATTCGTCTTTCACTGTATGGAAATATTTTGGATTCCATAGAGACGGTAGTGATTTGTCAGCACTGCTTTGTCGCTGTAGGCACAGTTCCTGGCAGGTTTAGGAGAATCTGATTATGCTGCTGCTCTTAATTTTATATGTATATTTAGGTAGTTATGGTTGTTGCTAAAAATGTTCTTGAAATTCATGTTCTGTAAAATTCATTCTTAATAAACCGAGTGAAAGAGTGAATTGTCAATATTCCAGTAGAGACTTTTTGTTGAGTTAACCAGAATGTAACCAGAAAGTACCAACTTGCCTTCACCAGCAAAGGCAGACTATATTGGTAGATAGTGCCAAGTTCTGTTTGGTTAGTTTATTTTTAAGAAATATTAAGCTTGTTTTTATAAATATCTTGATATTTATTTTTGACTGCTACTTTGAATGTTTTACTCTCTCCTGTTGGGGGTGGAATGGTGATGCAGTGGTTAGCACTGGTGCCTCATTCCTCTTGGATGAGGGTTCAAGTCTTTGCCATGTTCCAGTTTGCATGCTCTCCCTGTGTTGTTTCCTCTGATCCCCTCAACTCCCATGCCCCAGTCAAAAAAACATGCTTAGGTTACCTGCAGTTACCTTTAGGTGTAGATGTGAGTGCTGTGTGAGGTTTCCCTGCAATGGGTTGGCACCCCATCCTGGGTCCTCCACTGCTTTTCACCCATCAGCTCCAGACCCTCTGTGACCCTGAATAGGGCAAGCAGTTACATTTAGAATAAATGGATGGAAGTTGTCCTTTTGCAGCAGAGATTGATGAATCATTTTGTATAGCAATAAATTAATGGAATAGTAGCCTATAAGCCAGAGAAGTATCATTAGGATTGTGTTGCCAAAAAAAAGAGAAAATACCATTAAGGCTGTCATTAGGATAATATCAATAGTCGAGTAATGTACTGATATACTTTTTCCAGTATCATTCAGCCCGACTCAAGACACACTATACGTTCACAAAAATTAAGATTATATTGTTATTATGTACCAGATTTTGTAAGATAAATGCAGCTAAGCAACAGGGTTAGCCTTTGTTTTAGCAGCGATTATACTGGCATAGAGGAATCATAGAATGTGAATAAAGTGATGACAAAGTCAGGCTAGGCTACTCTGAGAGACTAAATGGTGCATATCTATGGCTAACCTTGCATTATCAGTAGTCCTTTAAAACTTCTTTTAAGATGTAATTGCATTGCACTCATTCTGTGGTGATATTTAGGTTCTGCTTTTGTAACATTGACTGATGACTGCATTTTCATTCAATCTGAATGTGAAGTGCTTCCACACAAGTGATGCTTTTACTGTTTATTTGGACCCTCATCCACCATGTACCATCTTCTTCTGCAGTATGGTGGGGTAATTGAAAAGGTACGGAAGCCCTGAACCGCATTTGATGATTTTTTTTTTGGAGACAATAAGTCGTTATTTCGGCAGTCGTTATAACGAGATATTATCTTGTTATTTTAACATAAGTCATTATAATGAGATAGTAAGTCGTTATTTCGACATAAGTCGTTATAACAAGATATTATCTCGTTATTTTGACATAGTAAGTCGTTATAACGAGATATATCGTTATTTTGACATAATGATAGGTATAAATTATAATAGGTATTTAATTAGGTCATCAGTGGTCATTGTCAACACACCACAATGAAATGTGTCCTCTGCATTTAACCCATATGTCAGTTTTTGTGACATAGCAGGGGGCAGCTAATTCAGTGCCCAGGGAACCTCAGTGGTGCCTTACTGGTCGGGGATTTGAACCAATCTTTCAATTACAAGTGCGCTTCCTTAACCATCAAGCCACCACTGCCCACTAAAGAGATTCCGACGAGGATGGGATTCGAACCCACGTGTGCAGAGCAAAATGGATTAGCAGTCCATCGCCTTAACCACTCGGCCACCTCGTCTCATTTATAGTCTCCCATGTGCTATCAGCATCAAGTGCATACTGTATATCCAGTGAGCGTGCTTTTTGCTGAAGTAGTTGTGAACATAGCGCGTTGGAAAGAGTTTAAAATAGTCTAAAATAGTCTTATAAGCTATCGTTTTGTTACAGATTTCTTGCAGTTCAGCAGTAGGGGGCAGTTGGTAGCCTAGTGGTTAAGGGATTCGCCCCTTGATCAGAGGATCGTGATTTTGAATCCCACTGAGGTACCCTTGAGCAAGGTACCATCCCCACGCACTGCTCCCCGGGCGCTGTATTGATAGCTGCCCACTGCTTCACTTGGTGGGTCAAATGCAGAGTGTTGTGCACTGGTGTGTTTCACATATAACAAATAATCACTTTCACTTCACTACATGTACATGTTTCTACAACTTTGTTTTGGTAGCTTTTTATGGCTTTGCTGTAGCCTACGTTGAAATGTATAGTAGTGTCTACCTTTTTTATCGTGGATTAAATAAGATCAACTGGTATATATTTCATCACTTAGGATTCAATGCTTTTTTTTGGGTCAGGTCAGATTTCGGTTGTTCATCAGTTCATTATGTGGATGGGGCAGTACAGTTACGGTATCTCCTAATGGGTCAGCTGTGTGCGTATGTTCGAAAACCATGACATGCAGGGTTTATTTGCCACGGTTAAGGCTGTTCATGTTCTTACCACTGAATCACTCTGTCTGTGCACTGTAAACAGCAGCCCAATAATTAGACATATGGGTCAAACTGCACCAACGTAATAACGTGCAACGTAATTCTGTCCTGGCTCATCGGTCAATGTTATTCTGATTTTCAGTTCGGATGTAGTTGAATTACCCAGGCAATGTTTTAGAAACTAATTAGTGGAATATGAAATGTTATGAAATACAACACACGATAAGTTTATAGGCGATTTATAACAAACGATAACAATGATATGGAGCATATTAATGGTCTACATAAAGTTAACATCAGTAAGGGTTAACTTGGAATGAAAGCACAAACTATGTAAAAATCCCAGAAATACATGGGCCATTAGTGTACCAAGTAAGCTACTGATGATAACAGTGCCTCAGCATGACTTAATGCATTCTTTAATATTGGCGCAAAGCTTAACACGAGTTATGTCGAAATAACGACTTATTATGTCGAAATAACGACTTACGATCTTGTTATAATGACATGTCGAAATATCGAGATAATATCTCGTTATAATGACTTATTATGTCGAAATAGCGACTTATTATGTCAAAATAATGACTTATTGTCTCCGAAAACAAAAATCATCAAATGCGGTTCAGGGCTTCCATAAGAAGGAAAATTTCCATAGATTATTTTTAATAATCGAGTTTAATCAAATAATCTTGACTGCTCTAATTGCCATTCACTGTAACTACCCAAGGCACAGGCTATTAATCGTTATTGAATGCTACAGCAAGCATCTCAGTTTAATTTGATTGTTTAATTTATTCAAGCTACTTTTTTGATGTTTTACATTATCCTTTTGGAATGAGTAATATATGATTTTGTATGGAAATAAATAAATATTTTGATCCATGCTCCATTTCTCTATCAAATATTGACTAGTGAAATTCAAATAGTAATTATGCCTGAAATGCCCATCTCTAGTGTTGTAATTGTAATTGTAATTTGAAGTCTGTTCAAATGCCTACCTCTAAGAGACACATAGTTTTCATGTATATGTGTCTTAGTGAAGGACAGGGACTTGAATCTGTTTGAATCTGAAAATTTGAATCTGTTTTGCAATAGAAAACTGAGTAATTGCTTTGTCTCTGAACTCTGTGATAAAAGTAACGGATGTAAATCAATCTGCTGAAACAATTTTTAAGTATAAAAAGCAAATTACCATTTCATGTTCAGGCTGTTGCAAAATTATATTTACACTACAGTGGTGGACTATTTATCATGGGTAAAATTTCTCTAACTGGTTTTATTCCAGATGTAGTTTTACACCATTTCGAAAATTGTGAGTGGGATTAAATTGCATGAATATGGAATTATGGGAAAATGGCAACTGGTGTATATAAAAATCTTATGGCAATAAGACAGCTCTTCTGTAGATAATAGAGGATGATATTTACAGTATGGAGAGAGTGAGATTTCTTGGGACAAAGCAGCTCTTAGGCTACATATATGTCTTCTGCCTCAGTGCAGGTGCTCAATGACTATTTCCCATTGCAAGAGTGTGTACCAGACTTTAAAGCAGGGGTGGCCAATCTTATCCGCAAAGGGCCGGTGTGTATGCGGGTTTTCGCTGCAACTCCCGAATTAGATTACTAATTAGAGGACTGATTGGCTGAAGAGTCCTCACACCTGGGTTTGAACAGCTGACCTACAGGTTATCCCAAAAACCTACATACACACCGGCCCTTTGCGGGTAAGATTGGCCACCCCTGGATTAAAGGATTTATAAACAGCTTGTAAATGAAAATTCTTCCAATTAAGCAAGATTTGTTATTAACAACAAAGATTAACAGACCATTTAATACAATAAATGCACTGAGAAGATATAAGCTCACGCTGAATTACTTAACATCAGGTTATGAAGACATACCACATGTACCACACGGAGAGTAGCAGTGCAGAGAACAAGCTGAAGGAGGCTGAGAAGCAGGAGGAGAAGCAATTCAGCAAACTGGGTGATTCCAACGAGGATCGACCACCACGACGCAGCACTGTTAGGAAGATCGAGAAGATGAAAGAAAAGGTAAGGACCTTTATTCCCGATCTGGTGCAATATTCTGTAACCTGTGTGCTGGAATATAAATGTTTACTGTTTCACAAAGCATACATTAAATCGACCATAAAAACTAGCTAGGTGTAGTAGCTGAGGTAAAATGAAGTGTTGGTCTGGCAGTGGTGCATCAAGACCTCTGATTAGTATGTGCCATTTATGCAGACATTTCCTGAATATGTAAATGAGTTGTTAATGAATTGTTGTGTAAGAATCATTATCAATATTATGATGTTCCTGTAACAAAAGGGAACTCATAAATAACTTTGTTTCTCCCATAACATGATGAAGATTTATAACGTTCTTCAATTACCTAGATTAAGCAGACCATAGACATTTTAAGAAGGCTGTCTGACTACTATATAACACTGCCATTAAATGCACAATAGGAGCAGATATAATGTTTGCTGTTTTGAACCCCAGAGACAAGCCAAGTATTTTGAAAACAAGCTGAAATGCACAAAGGCACGGAATGACTACTTACTGAACCTGGCGGCAACCAATGCTGTTGTGGGAAAATATTACATCCATGATGTCTCTGATATGATAGATGTAAGTACACATCTGATTTGCATGTGTATGTAATACTCTCTTTGTTATTGCTGCACTGTATGCAGATTATTAGTCTTTAATTTTTTATTTACAGATTTATAGATATTTGTAGATATTTTAACCGTCATGCTTATTTCATTTGTGCTGGCATGGTTGTTCAGTGGTTAGCACTGAGGCCTGACATCTCCATATTTAAGGCTGGATACTTGCATCCAGCTCAGTGTGTGTGAAGTTCCCCTCATGTTCTCCTCATACTTAAATGACTTCCCTTAGGTTACCTCAGTTTCCTCCTGCAGTTCAGGATTGTATGATTAGGTGAATTAGTATCTATAAATTGCCTGTAGTATGTGACAGTGTGCCCTTTTGTTACAATAAGTTCATATTGCTGGAATTATTTTACTTAGGAAATACCTCGTGTCTGCTTTTCAAAATAATCATAAACAGGTTCTATGACAAATGTTAATATCTAAGCACTTATGCTGGTCTGGGTCACCAGGAGCCTATCCCAGGCAGCATAGGACACAAGGCTGGGGTGCACCCTGGATGGGATTCCAGTCCAGTACAGGGCACATACACATATACCAGAGGTGGGGACCAGAGTCACTGACTCGGGACTTGACTCGGACTCGAGTCACAAATTTAAGTGTAGGCCAAGCTATTCCGGCCATGTTAAAGTTTGGGCTTCTTACATATACTTAATAGGCTAGATTAGGCTATCTGACATTTCACATAACATCATTACTAAAAAAATAATAAGTAGCTTATGAAGGGGACAGTATGACTCGACTTGGCAAAACTGATGGAAAGTCTTGGGCTTGACTTGGACTTGAGGACAAATGACTCTAGACTTGGAGCCGACTTGGACCGTATGACCTGGGAAGATCTGAGGTTATAGTCCCCCTTCTGTATACTGTACTATAATGTTAATTTTATAATTTTGGTGCATATTAATTCTCTGCTGTCTGCATTTTCAATTGAAAGATGCATCACTACCTGCATATACATGGGTGTAAAAACTGTGTGAGGACAACTGTGAGTGGACACTCTCTTTTCGACCTATCTCTGCCTATGAAGAACATATCCTATGATGTACTGTGACGGCAGGGCCGTAGCCAGCTATGAGGTCACCGAGGTCCGGACCTCGGTAATTATTTTAAGAGCTAAAAATACCATTCAAAGCAAAATAATCACCTAAATATGAATTTAAAAAAAGAAAAAGAAACAGCAGCTAAAAATCTCTCTGGGCCAAGTGCATTCTTAATTCAGTTCGAATGCATTATTAATAGTGTCTGCTCTGTGTGTGTGTGTGTTTTTGTGTGAGAGAGAGATACAGCATTCATGATGGAGGATGCACGACTCGTGAACCGCACGCGTGCAATTCACTGACAGCAGTTCGAATTCACGTTGTGTACGTGTGATTATGCAGCACTGTGAGGGAGGGTGCGGAGGCAGTAAATCATACGATAAGACAAAACAATGATCATTATCTGTAAAAAAAACATTCCAAAACAGCTCAGCCTCCTGCATAAATACGAGCTAATAAAAATAGACGTAGTAAAAATCAACGGTAATATTCATTACGGAAACTGTGATTGTTGACTTTTAAAACTTCATGAATTTTTTTTAAAATGTATGTATTTATTAAATTATTTGTGGGTTTAGGATAGGCTACAAAACCTTCCATTCATTTATGGTGAAATTAGTAAATACATCCATTCAGTCTTGTATGGATTAAATTATTGTTATTATGATTTTAATAATGTGGGTTATTTTGGTAAAATTTGGGTTATTTTTCAAATGATATTTTTAAACATCCTGATGTAACAAAAGAGGCTCCTATTATTGGTATGTTTTGCCACATATGTTTAGTTTAGTGTTACTGTATTGGCTAATTTAAAATATAGTTTTCTTTTTCACATTATTAAGTTCTGTAAAGCTTCATAAATTTCTTGGTTTGGCTAAAAGTTGTCTCAATATATCTTTGTTCTCCTTTTACACTTCTCTTCAGAAGTGCCGACTGCTCCAACCTGTTGCTAAAATGCTAAAACTATACACATTTTGGTAATCAACTAATGCTGATTTAGTACAACCCCTTCCCCCAGGTCCTAAACAATGTTTTGACTTGAGACTTGACTCAGACTCACCAAGGAATGACTTGTTCCCATGCCTGACATATACACTATAAAACACTATGGGCAATTTATAGACATCAAGTAACCTAACTGCATGTTTTTGGACTGGAATTTTACATGACATGGTGAGAACAGATACAGTAGAAGTGAAATTTTAATCCCCAACACTGGAGTGTGAGGCTACAGTGACTCCCACTGAGCCAATGTACTACCCCACTGCACATTACTACAAGTAGTTACTGTATTCCCCAGATGGGGAATACTTATGGTTTTGGCACATATTGTATGAATGAACAACTAGAACTGATCATATACTGAGTGAAGCATCGCCGCCTAGTGGCAACAAATGGAAGATGAACTACAGAAACATTCGATCTTGTGAATGTGGTAAGTCAAAAAGTATTTTATGGATCTTGGCACTGCTTCACAAAAACAATATATCAATGAAAATCTACATCAGATTTCATTTTGAGACCCGTATTAAGCCCAGGAGCGCTATGTGGCTGCAATGTAACGAAATGGAGGTTGTAGAAGACAGTTGGTCCTGTGAACACTATAACTAAAAGTGTTTGGCGGATCATTTTACAACATTGTATGGGTGATGACCTGGAAGTGATCAAAATTTGAGACAAATGAAAATTATAGCAGCACCGCATAATGATAGGAAAGGACAGGCTGTATGTCAGTGAGTCTCAAACTGAGGGGAGCAAGATGATTTTCTGAATATTGTAAAATAAAAATAAAAAATTTCCTCCCAATTGCTAGCCCACCCGCTCGTAAAATTTTATCTGTAACAGTTCAGTAGCTGGTTGGGAAATTTTATTTTGGGGGACCCATTGAAAATTGTTGTGAGGTAATTTAATGAAAAGATCAGGCACAGATCTGGTGAACCTGAAACAAGTCACATAAAGCCGGTCTTTTAATAAGGCATTAACAGAGGGATGACCATATAAGGTAGGCTTGGGCTGTATTACGGTAATATTGTTGGGATTCTGCGGTATTTTTGCTCTGTGAAATGTAGTTCCCCAGAAGCAGTTCTAGAACCTTCTTTTAGTAGCTACTCCAGACTAAGTACTTTTTGTTCAAACACAAATTACTGGGAAGATGCTTACAGCTTGCTAACTGGTTGACCAACTTGGGGGTTATGTGTAAAAAGAAAAGTGTAAAAAAATATTTGATAATGTTACATTATTTTTTATTCTGTGGAAAAGCACAGATCGATCTCCTGGCCTGATTTAATAAGGATCTTGAATATGTCATATAAGTAAAAAAAATAATATCAATAAATTTTGTTTTTGATCGATCGCCCCAATAACTAATAAAATGATTTATTTATCCTACATTGCTTTAGCATGCCAGTGTAGTTTCGTATGAAATCATCTACGATTTAACTTACAAACTTTTTGCATCTCCCTTACATGGAGCAGTGGAAATATGTTCTGTGGAGTGACAATTACACTTCTTTGTCTGACAGTCTTTGCTTAGTGGACGCCAGGAGATCATTACCTGCCTGAGTACATTGTGCCAACTGTAAAGTTTGGCACAATGGAGGAGGGATAACGGTATGGGGCTGTTTTTCATGGGTTTGGCTTGGCCCCTTAATTACAGTGAAGGGAACTCTTAATGCTTCAGTATATCAAGACATTTTGAACAATCCTATGCTTCCAATTTTGTGGGAACATAGACATGCTTGGTTGAATTTGGTGTGGAATAACTTGACTGACTCACACAGAGACCTGACCTCAACCCCATTAAATGCCTTTGGGAACTAGAATGGAGATTAGGAACCAGGTATTCGCGTCCAACATCAGTGCCTGACCTAACAGATGGCTTTCTCGATAAATGGGCTAAAAGTCCCTTAGACAAACTTCAAAATGTTGCAGAAAGCCTCCCTAGAAGGGTGGCAGCTGTTTTAGCTGCAAAGGAGGGACCAACTCCATATTGATGCCTATGGATTTAGAATGGGATGTCATAAAAGTTCCTTGAGATAATAATAGTAATAGCCTGCTGTCCCAGTACTTTTGTCCATATAGTGTACCTTGGAGACGATGCTAGATCTACACAGGCCTCACATGCCCACCCACACACACTATGAGAATTTTAGAGACACCACTTGACCAAAACAAAGGTTTCTGGAGAAAACTGGAGCAGTGGGGGACAAGAGCCCCCAACTCGGGAGGCATGAGGCTGCAATACTACCAATGAACTGCTGCGTTGCCTCCACTTGATTCTTCTTACTGATTCTTCAGTCTGTTGATTTCAGTTCTAAATGCTTTGTTTTCTTTGACTCTTAAGAATTTCTCTCAACAGTACTGTTGTTATTCTGACTCTGTCTGTAACGAAGGCATCTCTCCTCCTCCTTTCAGTGCTGTGATCTAGGATACCATTCAAACTTGGCTCGCACCTTCAGGACGTACCTGTCAGCAGAGTACAGCCTGGAGTCATCACGGCATGAAGGCCTGGATATCATGGAGAATGCTGTGGACAGTTTGGATGCCCGCAGCGACAAGCACAAGATCATGGACATGTACAATCAGGTCTTTTGCCCACCAATGCGCTTTGAGTACCAGCCACACATGGGCGACGAGGTGAACCCCGGACATATACTGTCACATTATACTTGTAGAGGGAATGCTTTAACCCAGACAATATGCTGATGTAAAAATGCTAAAGCACTATGTTCTGTTTATATAAACAATATAAAAATTTGGTTTGATCCCGAGGTCTTTACTTTTTTCAGCTACAGTCACTGGCCACTTTATTGGGTACACTTCTTCAACTGCTCGTTGAAGCAAATATCTAATCAGCCAATCATATGTCAGCAGCACAGTATATTAAATTAGGCAGATACAGGCAGGAGCTTTAGATAATGTTCACATAAAACACCAGATTGGGGGTGATAGGTGATTTAAGCGACTTTGAGTGTGATATGACTTTTGGTCAACCGTTGTAGCCTGGTATGAGGATTTGTGAAACTGCTGATCTACTGGGATTGTCACACACAACCATCTCCGGGGTTTAAAGAAAATGGGCCAGACAAGAAAAAATATCCAGTGAGTGGCAGTCCTCTTTGCAAAAATGTCTTGTTAATAGCAGATGCCAGATTAGAATGCACTCCCCTGCAATCCAATAAAGCACTTATGAGATGTGGTGGAACGGGAGAAACACATCATGAAGGTGCAGCCAACATATCTGCAGCAGCTGTGTGATGCTATCATGTCAACATGGACAAAGCCTCTGAGGAATGTTTCATGCTCCTTGCTGAATCTATGCCATGAAGAATTAAGGCAGTTCTAAAGGCAAACGGGGGTCCAACCTGGTGCCAGCATGGTGTACCTAATAAAGTGGCCAGTTAGTATATGTTAATACACTATATATTTTTTCCTCTTCTTTTTTCTCATCTCAACTTTTGAAAAAAATAACTCACAAGCAACAGAGTTTTGTAGCATTAGACAAGTAGTGATATTGTTTTACAGTAAGCTTGAGGGTTGTATGTGTTCCTCTCAGGTTTGTTTGGTGACTGCTCAGCCACCGGTGCAGACTGAACTTCTGATGCGGTACCATCAACTGCAGTCACGACTCTCCACACTGAAGATTGAGAATGAGGAGGTGAGACCTTGTTATCGGATGGTGAGGAGGAATGTTGCTTGGACAATTGGCAGTTCAGCTGTTCCTTGGCCAGATGCGTGTTACTGCATCATCAATTCATGCCTTGTTAAGCTGATAAAAGACCTAGAGTTGATTCAAAGTTTGGTATTTTAATTTGCTGTTATTGCTCAACATGAAGACCAAAGAGGTGTCAATGCAAGTAAAGTAGACTGTCATTAGGCTGAGAAAACAAAACAACCTCATCAGAAAGATTGCAGAAAGATTAGCAGAAAGATCTTTGTGAAGAAAAACCCCTTAAAACATCTAGTCCAGTCAAGAACACTCAGTAGGAGGTAAGCGTTTTATTGTCAATGTTTACAATCAAGACTTCATGAAAGTAAATACAGAGGGTTTATCCCAAGATGCAAACCACTTGTAAGTATGAAGAATATGAATGCCAGATTTGACTTAAAAAGCCCGTCCAGTTCTGGAACAATATTTTTTGGACAGATCAACGTCTACAAGAATGATGGGAAGAGCAGAGTAGAGAGAAGGGATGGAACAGCTCATGATACGAAGCATACCACATCATCTGTGAGACACGGGGGAGGCAGTACTGTTATAACATGGCTCGGCATGTGTGGCTGCCAGTGGAACTGGGTCCCTTGTGTTTGTTGATGATATGACAGCTGACAGAAGTAGCAGGATGAATTCTGAAGTGCATAAGGATATACATGACATACATTTACTGTACATGACAGGCATGTTTCCTGCTATAGGCCTATGGGTGACGAGTACGACGCGATCCATCCATTGTTTGTATGTAAAACAATATAAGGGACACAAAATATTCTTGCAAATGTCATACATGAGACCACCTACAGTTATAATTATTAGCTGGAACATGATTCATTGGACATTTTGGACTTTTGAAAACTAACCAAAACAATATACAGTATATTAGTAGTGATGCATGGATCGGCTCTGACGGCATCCTAATCCGCATGTACGCTTAAATCATCCACCCGCCACCAACTCAAACTAATTATTTTCTCCGATTTAGAGGCCCATACCCAATCAAATATTACCAGTATTGACCACTAAACAAAAAAAAAGTGATAAAACATGTGTTCAGCAATCCATATCACTGAAGCAGAATCCACGGCTGTTTCTGCAGCCAAAAGCGGCAGTGTGAAGGATTGCTTCAGCTTCTCCAATATGGCAGGCAAATCGTTGCACTTGCAGTCACGTGATAGCAGGTCTAGTGAATATTTCATTGGGCTAGACTGTCTGCTTAGATTCAGCTGAATGCTGCAAAACTGACTGGAGCACTTGACCTCAGCCCAGTAGAACATGCATTTCACTCGCTGAAGACAAAACTGAAGACAGAAAGACTGACAAACAAGCAGCAACTGAAGACGGCTGCAGTAAAGGTCTAGCAAAGCATCACTAAGGAGAAAATCCAACATTAGGTTTCTGGGATCTAGACTTCAGGCTGTCAGTAGCTGCAAAGGATTTTCAACCAAATATGGTTGGTAATGGTGCATGATCGTTTAATTTACGATTATATTAGTTTGTCCAATTATTTTTAAGACCCTGAAAATTAGGGACAATATATAAAAATGGCTGTAATTCCTAAACCGCTCAAGCAATATTTTAATTAATAAGGTCTGTTGCTGCAAGTAAGGCTATGGACTTTTATAAAGAATTACAATAGCTGTTGTAGTCATAATATGGATTTTGCTAATATGCATTAATTTGGATGTTAAGATTTTTGAATTCTGTATTATGTAAATATAATTTATATATGAAATATGTGAAATGTGGATCAAATTAATATATCAAATGTTACTTTTTCATGTTTCACATAAATTTTATTAGTTATTGGATTGTGGATGTTTATGGATGTGAATGAATGCAATACACGGGTCACTACAAAGGAACGTCCATTGGCACAAAAATTTATATGTGTGAACAGTGTGAAATTATTCTTCAAAGAAAATTTCAAAGCTGTTATTGGCCTTGGGCTTGTGCCCCTTCCTGGGTTGTTCCCTGCCTCGCGTCCATAGCCTCTGGGATAGGCTCCGACCCCGCGTGACCCTGAATAGGATAAGCGATTTCAGAAAATGGATGGATGGATGGGTTTCAGAAAATGGATGGATGGATGGAAGTTATTGGCCTATAAAAAGCCACAGATTCAGTCCACATTTCTAAATTCTGTGCAGTTGGATCTTTAATACGGCATAATGCTTATGCTAATTATGACTAATCTTTGGGGCTGGGATTCATTTACAGAATTGATGAGTGGGTTTATGTATTAAATTGCAATCTACTTAGGCTATTGATGGTTTTAAACAGTTTTTGTTGTGTCTCATAGCATAATATTTCCTTTATTATTCCAAAATTTGTTTCTGTATTCAGTTATATTTTATGAATTAATTTGTTGAATTATGCCACCATGTGGTTGTTGATGGTGCAGATGAGGAAGACTCTGGATGCCACTATGCAGACACTGCAGGACATGTTTACAGTGGAGGACTTTGATATGTCAGATGCATTCCAGCACAGTCGGTCCAGTGAGTCCTTAAAATTGGCTTCTTCTGAGACCTACATCAGCAAAGTCAACATTGCCAAGAAGAGGGCCAGCCAACAGGAGACAGAGGTCTTTTATTTCACTGTGAGTTCTTGCCACTTGCATTTTTCTTACAAAATAAAAAGAAAGGTATGGCCTTCTGCTGGAAATGCTTCCAATCATTTACCAGCTTGACGAGCTTTCAGAAGCTTTGTGTCCAGTTTTTACAAAGTAAAATATGACAAGGCCCTTAGAATGAGCAAATTGTTTCTCAAAACTCTTTCTTGTACTATCTAGCAGCAGTTCAAAGTGTGAACCATTTGCATTGAAATTGTGAATATGTGTCTTCGTGCCTGTTTCTCATTACAGAAATTTAAAGAATTCCTGAATAGCACCAACCTCATCACGAAACTACAGGCAAAGCATGACCTCCTCAAACAGACACTAGGAGAAGGTGCGAGTTTTAATCCCACACTGCAGTAAGCTATTGGAAACATCTGAAGGACTCAAAGTTGCAGGCTGTCATTACTTCCCCCATTTTTTTGCTCTCCACTTTCAGTTCCATTTTCAGACTTTATAGATCAGTCACATTAAGGCTGTCTTATGCATTGTTATTCTCTGTTCTGTCACTGGGAATTGCACACTTTTCAGCTGTGGATGGAATACCAGACATTAGTACATCTTTAGTAGAATACCAGGTAGTAACCCTCAGAGTAATCCTGAAATTGTATTGGTAGTTAGGCTTGTGGAACTAAAAGCAAACTTTCACTGTATGTCAATGAGTCCTTTTCAGTCAGACCTTTGCTTTATGCCTGTTTTCATTTCAGAAAAGGGAAGGAAATTATTTGCACTACAGTAAAAGTGTCATCCCTGATATTCTGCAAAGCTGAATATTTCAGAGCGATAAATAAATAATGGTGTTTTTGTTTTTGTTTAGAACCCATTTAAAGCATTATTTGTTACGATTACATCACAAGCCTCAAAATTAACTGCCAGGTTGTCACGATAGAGATTAATTTTTGACATCAATGTCAAAAACATATTTATTTTTTTCCAGAATGAATGCAGTTCATTCTTGGCAATTTAGAAAACAGATTTTTTTTTATTGCACTGCAAAATAAATAATAGTCTCCCATCAATCATGAATCATTGAATTTGATATTGTGTTATTATATTTAACAGAAAATAAATATATTATCTATATTATTTTTTTTTTTTATTTAGTGCTTAGCACAATGCCTCAACTGTGTTGAGTCGTGTGACAGTTTTTAGTGGGTCCAACAGAGGGTGATTTAAAAAAATGAAAACACAACTCCCGCCCTTCCCAATCGGCAACTTCTTTTATCGTTTGACTTTGACATTTCAAAAACTTGATTCTTCTCCTTTTTCCTTTTTAAATCTTCAGTTGTAGATTTGCTGCTTTTAGAATCATTGTCCTGTTGCGTGACCCAAAATTTCAATTAAGTTTAGCTGTTAGACAGATGACTTCCCATTTGCTTCTAATATAATTTGGTTTAAGGAAGAGTTTTGCTTGATTCCATATCTGTGAGGTCCATTGCCTGCAAACCAAGACCAAATAATTTTCCCTCCACCACAACACTTGATATGAGGTGTTTGTAGTGATACTCTACTTGATTGCTGCAAACATGGCATTGTGCATTATGGCCAGGGATTGACATAACTGGTACACAAGTATGCATTCACCTTTAAAAGTGATACGTGCAGCAATCGATTGTTGTAGCATCGTGAATGCGTACATATTTTATGTGCATTTGTGCCGATATGACAAGAAATTATCGTCTGCTTTTATAGAGGTGCTCACACTTCCTGATAATCCACAATCATGTACATTTTATTTACATTATCAGGCTGCTGATTCACTTTTTAATATCTGTGGAAGCAGTAACGGTACATGTTTTCCCATGACTTATTTTTGTTGAATATAAAATGACAGTGAATTTTTTTTTAATTTCTATTATCTGAGGCTCAATATTTCTAAAAGTTGGTGAAGACCAGGCCATTGTTAATTATATCTTGATATGTAAAAACTTCAATTGAATGAGGATTTACTTTCATGCTTCCACAGTTAGTCTGAAAGATATTCAGCTTAGTCTGCTCAGTGTGTCAAATGAACTTGGTATTTTGTTTACCTTTATATACCTTATATATAAGTTTATCGGATGTGCAAAAAATTGTGGTTTCTGCCACTGGAGGAATTTTAGGAAACACAATTATGTGTAATTTTCTGTGCTTTTCCGTGATGTATACTTCTGTCTTGCATTTTTCCTTTTCCGTTTTGCAATTATTTTTTGTAACGTGGATCAGGTTTGTTAGTGAAGTCTCAAATTTGCTTTAAAGAAACAGATTTTTTTTGTGGAGATGTAGACGTCTTCTGGAAATATTCTTGGCACATAAAGGCCCTGAAGGTTGTCCTACGGGCCTCCTGCTACAGGCTTTGATATGCTAGTTTATGCATGGTATCAGTAATTAGACTGATGGTTCTTATGGAGAAAGACTTAGCAAGGCGGAACGTGTCTTGGCTGTCCACATAGGTGCAGAGTAAGTGTGTGCCGAGCTGTTATGTCATTCAGGTTTTTTAGGTGATTCTCTCTCTCTTTTTTAGGAGAAAAGCCTGAATTTGGTACAACAAGGTAAGATTTCTGTCAAAATAAGAGCATGCAGTTCTTTTTCCCTCTTATATAAGTATATGTCAGCGGTTATTTATAGCCAGTTTAGTCAAGTAGCACAAAAAATACAAAGTAGAACATTGTAACCTAAAAATATATGTGTGTGTCCCAGCCTTGTATCATGCACCTCATAGGCCCAGATGTTATTTTTTATTATTTTTTTTATATAAAGCAGAAGTAGGTTATATAGGCTCAATGGTCTAACAGTCATCTCATTCAGGGGAGCTGTTTCTCCTTTATGTAACAGAGGTTAAAGATGTCTAACTTTGAATAGTCATAAAATGATCTTGTTATAAATTTGTCATGTTATGCGTATCATCTTGTTGAAACCCTGGAAGAGGGATTATTAATTAGTTCTTTGCTAGGCGTAGTCAGTACAAGGTCATGATGAGCCTGGAAGCTGTTTCCAGGAAGAGAAAATCACCCAGGGGACAGTTACACTGACATGGAACTGGGATGTGACCCACCTCCCTGGAACTGGAAGTGTTACTCACTGAATCACTATTTAGAAGTGTGTCTGTTAAAAAAGAACATCAATGATAACTAACCTTATTATCAGGTTGGTTAAATGTTTTTCTCCCATTGTGTGTCATTTTGTACTTCGGGTAGCATAAGGGTTGCATTTGTTAAATTAATGTTTTATTATATCGATTTTAAAAGTTTAAAAACTTCAATCAATTCAGGGCTGTAAGAACACATGCAAAAACGAAGGTGTGAATTGACATTCACATCTAAACATACTTCACTCTTTCTGACATACGCAACACTAAAATTAGGTTGTAAATGCAATATAGAGATCTCTAACAGAAGGGGGGCTGATACAAATCGTTTCGGAAAGTATAGTCTGTTGATTTCAGGTGAAAAAGGTGCGCAGTCATGGATTAGCCAGGTTGTTTTTCCCCATACTTCCTCTGCAACAGTAGCCTTAGTGTCTGAAAGTCTCATAGATACTGCAGCATTATTATTTGCAGCTTTATTTACACACTTTGCAGCTTAATTTGCACACTTTGCCCCTGCAGCTTAATTTGCACACTTTGCCCCTGCAGATTAATTTGCACAGTATGTCCCTGCAGCTTAATTTGCACAATATGCCCCTCATCTTATTTTGCACAATATGCCCCTGCAGCTTAATTTGCACACTTTGCCCCTGCAGCCTAATTTGCACACTATGCCCCTGCAGATTAATTTGCACACTATGCCCATGCATCTTAATTTGCACACTATGCCCCTGCATCTTAATTTGCACACTATGCCCCTGCAGATTAATTTGCAAACTATGCCCATGCATCTTAATTTGCACACTATGCCCCTGCAGCTTAATTTGCACACTTTGCCCCTGCAGCTTAATTTGCCCTCTATGCCCATGCAGCTTAATTTGCACACTTTGCCCCTGCAGCTTTATTTGCACACTATGCCCCTGCAGCTTTATTTGCACACTATGCCCCTGCAGCTTAATTTGCACACTATGCCCCTGCACTTTTGCGCTTTTCACATTAATTTGCAGAAGTACGAAGTGGCATCATAGCAACATTTTTCGACCATCATGGTTAATTATAGATTCATAATAGTTTAGAAAACTATTTGTTCATATTTCTATCTGCTTCATTATGTATGGAAAAAGAGTACAGTGATATAAAAAAACATTCATAATTTCAGAATGTTATGCACACAAGTACTGGCTTTTATGGTTAAATTGGGAACACCACTTGTATTGATGTGCCATTTCGGTATTAGATATGTTCTCCTGTACTGGGGCAGTTATTTTACTATATTTGTGGTGTTTGCTTTCACCCCTTCATATTTCCTTGCTGTCTTGTAAGACACAGAGTACAGGGAAGTGAAGACCACCCTTAATGAAAAGCTATAAGCTGTTTAAAGCTATTCATGAGGGCTGTCATTAAGGTACTCGCCCACTGCAGCACTGCACCAGACCGATGCCTTGGATGTTGCCTTTGTGGTAGTAAGACACCTGTGCTTACTTTTCTGTCTCTGCATTCTGTTTGGCACCCGACATGGAAGTAAGTTTACCTGACACGACGTGGATAAGATTCTTTATTAGAGCAGGGTACACCCAGGAGTTGACAGCTAAGAAACAGCGCGTCCCTGTTCTGAAGAAGTGACCCCCCCAAACAACAGAGACTCGGTTCATATCCATTTCCGTAACTCCCCTAAAAGGCAGTCTTTTAACTCTTTGGCTAAGACAGCGGCTCCTGTCCTCGAGCGTGATGGTCTCAGAGGTGACGACCTTGTACACCTCTACACTCCTTTAAGCCCGCGGCCAGACAGCCAGTCGCCAGTTGTTACATCCTACCCCTGCTAGCCCCTTATATATCCCATGTTAATCAATACCATGCAATCAAGTAATCAAACTACCCGTATATCATTATTTATTTTTCCATTTTGCTTGATTCATTATAACACGCTTCATTGTTACTCATTAAATCACATGATTCTTAACCTAGATAACCTTCAACTCAGTACCTGAGTACTTCATGTTCTTTTCGGCAAAGGAGGTCTCATGTTTGTTCATCATTAATGAATCATGATGCATCTTATCTCAAGTAGTGACTATATTTGTTCAGTATTTGTTCATGATTTGTACTTCAGTATTAACTGAGTAATTACTAAGTATTTCTGCCCCATCAAATAAAGTGTTACCTATAGGTTTTTAAATGTCAGGGTCCAAAGCAGAGCTTGGCATTTCTGCAGAGAAGAGGGCTCTTCAGGGAGTATTGTGCCCTCTTCTAAGATGCCCTTTTATTCTACATTTTTTGTCACATGACTGTCATTTCGCGTGAGCTTCACAGTGTGCTCCCTCTGGCCAGCTCACCTCTCGGGCCTCTGTAACAGCTGTGGTTTTTGTTTCTGTTTCTCTGTGCTCCTTCACCATGATGGTATGTGTGACAGGGGAAGACGGAACGCACGTGCTCGGAACCAGGTAGTGTACTCCGCATGTTCCCAAACAGTATTGGTCCCAGGTTCAGGTTCAGGTTAAGGTTACTTTATCTGTACCCGTAGGTAGATTTGGGTCGCAGTCATGAGTCATACATCCTACATACACACTTCAACACAGGAACAACTGGCAAAAAAAACACTATGATCTATTTATCAGAGTGATGGCTGCTGGAACAAAGCTGTCTTTAAATCTTTTCGTTCTACATTTTGGGACCATTAACCTTCGTCCAGAGGGAAACCTTGGTAAAACATCCCGTAAAAACTGCTTGCATTAGTTTTACACTTTCTATGAGAAGCATTCAAAATACACTAATGAACATTTCAGCCAAATAGGTCCACCTTTTGCCAGTCTCTCCACCTTGATAGATTGGTAAATCATCAAAAGAAATCCTGTTTGAAACAATAGGTTTTAAAAAGACTTTCTGTGTTAGTTATTAGCAAATTGGTAGCATATAGGTATTTGTTGTTCAAATAGCCTCGATATTTTTATTGAGAACATTTCCTTTGCCCAGGATTCAGGCCAGCCTATACCACTGGTTGTGGAAAGCTGCATCCGATGCATTAACCTCTATGGTAAGAACATTCTTACATACAGTACGTATGCTGCAAACTGGGTGTTCATATGTTCATTACATACATTATTATAAATTTTTTTTTTTTGAAAACGTGTGGCAGAATAATGGAGAATGGAAAAAATGATATAAAAATGCATCTGTTTGCTTTATGTATGCATTTTCTGTTTGTAAAGCTGCTAAAGGAACTAATTAAAACTTTATTTGTCAGTGTTAATGAATACAAAGAAGATCCTATGGGCCTTTTTGACTTATGTATAGTCTGGTGTTCTCTAGTTGCTATCATGCTGAGAACCTCTGTCATGACAGTAGTCTCCCGTAAGATTATATTTCTTTGCTTTCAGGCCTCCAGCACCAGGGAATATTCCGGGTTCCAGGATCTCATGCTGAAGTCAATGATATTAAAAATTCATTTGAAAGAGGTTAGTCCACTGAAGTGTTCCGGTTTTCCAGTTCTTTTTTTTCTCTGAAATAAAATTTGTCTCGCATTTTTTCTCCTGGGCCATCAATAGACAGTGAATTTAGTGTTTTTCAGGGCAACATGACATAGACTGCAGATTCGAACTGCAGTTTAAATATTCAAAATGCACTCTGGGCTTTAAAGGGTGTTGAAGGGTTAACATGTCCTATTCACAAAATTGCCACACTGCAATTTTTTTATTAAATTTTATTGTAGATTGAAGAGATGAGAGATTTTATTGAAGCTGTACTCTTGAGCAAGTGGGGCTTGTTCTTCTAAAAAAATCTTTTTTCCACTTCAGTTTATTAAGCTTTTTCTTTGTGAGTAATGGTTTGTGAATGAATTTGATGTACTTTGTCCATGTTCAGAGCAACTGAGTATTCAGAAGTATATTGCACAGTGTTTGACTTTGTCGATATGTACAAATTGTGTGGACCACTGGGGAGTCCCTTATCCTGCTGGTAAAGGTCAGCATAGGTTCTTCTAAGCAGCACGGCAGGGACTTACTTTGGTTATTGGGATGGTTCTCACACTGCCAGCACACACAGATAAGAGGAAGGAAGGAACGCAGCAGATTCCCTGTGGACAATCACATGTAATTATATGTAAAGGTAGAATGCATATTTACCGAGGGAGATTGTGAAGTACCTATCTAAGTGTACTGTAGATGGGATTTACAAGGATCTGCACAAACAACCCACTTGTAGGTAATTCAGGACATTAATGATTATGTCTACAGTGACCCATAAGTGTCTTCTATCTACAGGTGAAGACCCACTGGCAGATGACCAAAGTGGCCATGACATCAACTCTGTGGCTGGGGTTTTGAAGCTCTATTTCCGAGGCCTGGAGCATGCATTGTTTCCAAAAGAATGCTTCCTAAACCTGATGGCAACAACGAGTAAGCAAATAGCATTTAATAGACTTGGGAAAATAAGTGTAATAAATCAAGGTAATATACATATATGCATTTGGCACTGTGATCAGTTTGTTTTGACTTTTTGATGATTGATTTTGAAAGGCAGGAATTAGGTAGCATGAGTAGAGTCTGTGAATGACTGGCATTCTAAGCATGCTGTGGAATCTTGGACTCACATGTCTATCATACAATATAAATGTCTGAGCAACCCCACCCTGTTGGTTTCATGTATAATTATAAAAGGAATAACATGCATAGTTCAGAACGATACGCAATGCTTTTCACCTCTTGTCTTTCAGAAATTGAGTCAGGAGGAGAAAGAGCTCACCACATTCAGCAGATTATATTAACTCTTCCTCGTTCTACCATTGTGATCATGAGATACCTTTTTGCTTTCCTCAGTCAGTGAGTTGGATGTTTTTACCACTATTTTCAAGTCATTTGATGAGATCATTTGTTTACAGAATTATTTGAATGGACCTGGTTTGTTATTTTTGAGGTTTATGTCGAAGCTTTGACTCTGTTACTTCTTGTTTTATTTTTGTATTTTTACACTCTTTTTGTACTAGATTTCATGTCATAGATTTATTGAGTATCAAAATAGGAGATAATTTTGCTTTAAGGACATATTAAGTTATATTTATGGTTGGCTAGGATATTCTTCTTTAGCCCGAAAGCAGTCCTGCAGCAGAGCAACACAGAAACAGGGTTTGGTTCACACAGTCATTAGGATTTAGCTGAGCAATTCCTCACCCCCTTTCCCAGCTCCATGAGGTCACACAACTTTTTATGTGACCACCCACTGAACAGTAGTAATGATCCTCATCAAAAAAAACATGTTACCTAGCAATGATTGGTAAATCTTTAAATCACTTTAAGTTCTGTGTTGATCCACCCCATCTAGCTTGTCCCAGTATAGCGATGAGAACATGATGGACCCCTACAATCTAGCCATCTGCTTTGGGCCAACACTTATGCCCATCCCTGATGGGCAGGACCCAGTGGCCTGTCAGGCCCATGTCAACGAAGTTATCAAGACTATCATTGTCTACCATGAGGTCATCTTTCCAAGCCCCCAGGAACTGGATGGGCCCATATATGAGAAATGTATGTCTGGAGGGGAGCAGTACTGGTGAGTGTCCTGTCTATACTGTAGTCAGGATTGTGTATTGCTACTCAAAATGAGAAAAACGTGGAACAGAACTCTGAGCTGTAGAGTCTTGCTGTCTGCCTGGCTTCCATTTCAGTGACAGCCCTCACAGCGAGCCTGGCGCCATCGATGAGGTGGACAATGGCACAGGTCCGCATACAAGTGACGACGGTGAGTGTCAGGACCAGCTAACCACACGTTGATCTTGAAACATTTTCCAGCTCAACTGGCTGAAAAAAGTTTTGATTAGGGAGGGGACTTTGTTGAAGTAGAAAAACTGTGAAATTATTCTGTTCTTTTGCTTTACTCTGTTTACTTTTTCCATTTTTTTTCTCTGTTCTTATTTGCTTATTACCAAGGCGTCATCAACCTCAACCCAAGCCATTGCTATTGAAACATTATAATTTATTTTATTAGCTCCATAACTGAATGGTCATTATTTAGCAGTATAAATTGATGATACCGCCAACTGTACAAATTTATAATATGTACAGGATTCTAACAAAGGTTTATCTATATTTTTATAATCTTAAAAATGTTTGTCTATAAAAATAGAGCATATACAGGCAACAAAAACAGTATTTCTTTCTTCATATGAAAACTCAGCAACTAAATTGAACCACTTATACTGTTACTCAATAGATTAGAGCTGCGGTCACCAGCTGGTGGAATTTTTTCGGCATTTTATTTCCAGACGCAGTGGACTTTGGTTTTGTGCTGCTGATGGGATTTGATCCTTGGAGAAAGATGGTTGGGGATCCCTGGTTTAGAGTTACACTGTCAGAAATAAGCAACTGTATCCAAAGAACCAAACCCAGTTTCTGGCAATAGAATCAGCTTCAGCATACAGATAGAACTTCATAACTCACTGCAATATGCAAAATATACAGAGATCATTCTGTCCTTATTTCACTAGGTACCTCAGCTATTGAAATGACATCTCTACTGTTGATAGTAGTAGTCAAAATAGTGAACAATAGTTTAACCAGACAATCAGGTTAATGAAGATGTTTCAGACCATATGTTTTTGTTTTGTTTTGTTTTTGTTTTTACAGATTTAAAACCCTTTCATCAGAATGTAGCTTAAATAGCTAAAGCTCAGGAAAATTCTTTCGTGAGACGCGTTAGGGACTGCGCCTCTGATTTTCGCTTTTCCGAGTGATGCTGCTACATTTGTAAATCTAATTTTGTGTCCTATACCAGCAAAAAAAACTAAGTGTAATGAGGTCATCACAATGTTTCCAGACATTTGTAATTTGTGACAGATGTTTTTGTATTTTAAAAATGCTGCCTGTTTTTGGATATTTTTGTGGAAATGACTGCACGCAGACTCTGTTAAGAACGCTCATTTCAGAGTTTTATTCATTGACCCATCTGGTGTAGATGTAGTATTTATAAGTGTGAAATTCCCTGGTGATACCCAGCTGTCTTCTTCAGACTGTACGGCATTTCCTGTTTGTGACAGTACTACATCAACAGCAATAGATCTGTTTTGTTTCCTCTGCTATTTTTTGTGATGTTGTGTGATGTGCACACAAGCTAGTCCTTTCCTTAAAATTTCAGCCTTTTTCCCCCATATGTTGTGGTCTGAAAAAGCAGTTCTCATTATATTATTATTCATGTTGTTATGAGTAAATAATGCAGCATAAGAATAACTCTAACAGTGTTTTGAGTTTTTTTCCCCCCAGATTGTCTCTTTTTTTCCTCAATATCCTGAAACACATGTATTAAAGGACAGTCCTGTTCTTTTTATGGATAATAGCATCTTGGATAATTCGTAGAAACTCAGTTTTTGCTTTTTTTTTTTTGCAAAATAGAGATCTGGCCAAATCATTATGTCACCTGAGCCTGAGATTTTAAAATGTAATGCAGGTTTTTAGAAACCATGAAATTTGTCACAGTATTTCTCTGAAAGTAATTTTACTACTCACTATATCTTTAATGGAACAGTTTGTGCTTTAAGGTTTACTTGGAAGAGCTCCTGCTGTGTGATATCTAATCTGTCCCTTTGGACTTGCCTGACTGTAGAAGGTTGTTAGGCATTGAATGATGGCCATTTCTACTTAGTGTTTAGCAGGCACTGGAGATATGATGATGTTATCATTAGATACCAACAACCTTTATGTATGATGCAATTTTTATTTTGAAATGATAATCAGTAATTTAATTGTGTATGCACCGGAGAAGCCTGCTATGCGACATCATCCCTTTATTGATCCCTGGGGGGACATTCTCTTTTCCTCTACCCCATCTTACTCTCCATGACACACATGTAAGTGAGAGCGAGCCTGGCAGCAAAGGGCAGCCACCCATAGCAGTGCCCATGGAGCTGGGGATTTAAAGCCTTGCTCAAGGGCCCACAGACCTGACTATCTTGCCAAGGCCAGGACTTGAACCAACGACCTTCCACTCATTGGTACAGAGGCTTCGCCCTCTGGGCCGCACACTGACCCCAACATCTGTCATATGCCAACATCAAGTCTTATAAAAGTATATTCATTTTACTAATTAGTGCAGAAACTAGCCTAATTATTTCTGCGTCAAAAATGGCAGATTTGTTTGCGAAGAAAATTAAGGCAGTTTCAAGTCCCTTGTCAGATCTGCAATAAAGACATAACAATGAAAGACAACACCACAGATCATTGCTCTCACCTTAGAGTTCATCATCCAGCTAGATTCACAAAGACAAGCAAGGCTACTTCATGATCAGACCCAGTGCCAGAATGGCAGTCCTCAAGTCAGACATAGATACATACGTACACAAGTACTTAATGAAAACTGCCATCCCCAGTTACTACAGCATTAGGCTCAGGGGTAGAAGTGGCAATTTGAGATTGAAATCATGTTTCTTTAAAGTGAGTTTTTCAAATAACATTTCTTTTGGATGCATCCCCTCTGAATATTTTTTGCTTAGGGGGGTGCTCTTGGTAGAGAACCTGGCTGACATATTGTCATTAATTCAATCTGGTATTGCTATTTGTGGTTTTAGGTTATTAAAATTAAACACTGGAATGTTTTTTGAAGCTTTCTGTAAGTTCTCTGAGAGCTCTTTTGTAAATGAAACAGCATTTGTAGTGTGTTGTTTTCACAAGGGAAGAAGCAAATCATTTCAGTTAATGTACTAACCACAATCATTTATTTGAAGTCCATATTTCGGTGCTTTATTAACTATTTTAAAAGATGTTTCTAATTTGGGGAAGTTGTTTTGTATGTATCGGAACCAGTTCAATGCTGACATAAAGAGTGCAGATTCTTTTTATGACTGAGGTCATATGTGCCTCTTTGATGCCTTGTGCCCACAGATCTAGAGCAGATTGAGGCCATCGCCAGGTTTGACTATGTGGGCCGGACTGCGCGGGAGCTGTCCTTTAAGAAGGGGGCATCGCTGTTACTGTACCACCGAGCCTCTGCGGATTGGTGGGAAGGACGGCACAATGGTGTGGACGGGCTGATACCTCATCAGTACATTGTGGTCCAAGACATGTGAGTCTAGCTTGAGGCTCTTTAGCCCTTTAACAAGGGCACTGCAGCCAGTTTGCATAAACTGGAACCAGATCTGGCAGTGCTATGCCTAACTTCAGTTTTAGCTGCATTTGAATTACCTGGGTTATATGTGTGTTTATGCAAATGATTGACGGAATTTTTATTTGAATTAGCGTGTAGCACTGTAGTCTTACATCTGTAAAGTTGTGGGTTTGATTACTGCCCCAGAGGTATATCTGGACTTTGTCAGAACTTGTAATGAAAAAACAGCTATCAGGACATACTCAGGGTAAGGTGAACAGGGTGTAAGCTTGATTGTTATTGCCTTGTTAGCAAATGCTAGGGAGCGAAACAAATATCAACAGTCAGGTTTTCAATACCGTTAAAAGAGTGGAGGTGCTTGCAAAATACCAAGTCAACACTGGCATCTTTAATACCTATGATTTCAATGGAGCCCAGTTGCCATTACTGTGAGAGGGAGTCTCACTATAACGATGCACCAGTAGTGGCCCCAATGGTGGAAATATACTCAATTTTCATACTTAAGTACAGATACATGTACCAACCCAAAATGTTACTCAAGTAAAAGTTATCCAGTAAAATACTACTAAGTAAAAGTTAAAAATACCTGGTTTTATGAATACTTAAGGATCAAAAGTAAAAAATACTATGGATTCAAATCTACTGATCTTACAAAAAAGCAACCTATCCCTTTACAATCAAGACAAATTTGAATATAGCATATCAAGTTACAATGCATCACAATAACAAAAACTGTCGCAAGGGTATATTTTCTTTTTATTCAGAAAACTAACAGTTAAACTTGCCAGTCTTGCTGGCGCTGATTAGCAGGATCGCATTTTTATTCTGTGGAAAATAGAAGTTCGATCTGATGGCCAGATTTAATAATGAATTATAAACATTTTGTGAGCCAGTACTTCTAGACGTCTTGTAAGTGGTGAATGAGATGACTAAAACCCTGTTCCTCCGTTACAGAAAATGGCTGATCGCCCAGTACAATCATCTCCATTATTTCAGTAGTAGCTCTAGTACTGCTAACTTTGAATACTAATAAAGATTAAATATTGGATGTTTTGGTATGTCAGCCAATATATTGTACACCTCTACATATTGTTTGTTCCATCTTCATAAAGACAGTATGTAATGTAAAATAATAATAAAGAAATTGCCCAAGAATCGTGAGAGAGTGTAATAAATCATGATTCCCATTTTAGCAAGAAGCATGCAGGTCTACTCAGATGTGCTGCATGCAATAGTATATTTTTTTTAACTGGGTAAGTAACCATGGTTGTGCAGAGTGTATTTGAGTAAAAAGTAGTTATTTGGCTCAGAAATGTAGCGATGAGAAAGTGAAAGTTGTAGCAGCTTAAAAAACTCAAGTAAAGTACAAATCCATTTCAAAATTAAGTACTGTTACAAAGTATTTGTACTTCATTACTTTACTGCTTTGAGTGGCCCATGCAGGCTGCTCAGTGCCTGCAGATGGGTCTATATACCAGCTGAGGGAGATGCACCTCTTTACTTATATATTGTGAGCTGTAAACTCTATCACTCAATGTTTCCATTGTGTCCAGGGATGATGCCTTTTCAGACAGCCTCAGCCAGAAGGCAGACAGCGAGGTGAGTAGCAGAGCCTCTCTGGACAGCAAGGCGTCCTCCAGGAATGACGTCCATTCTCCATGTGAGCCCTCAGCAGACTACGGCTTCTTGGGAGTCCTGGGAAGGTGTGTTCAGGGAAAGGGGTTCAGCTATTCATTTCAATATGGTTTTCATTTAGAGTATTTTTATGAAAATGAACCATCGTCAGGTCATATACTTACATTTTGTTAAGCAGTCAGACATTGATGTTTGTGAAATACATCTTCTAACTGCCCATTCCGGTCTGGTTCACATGGAATTTGTAAAATGTTAATCTCGTTTTTTAAGTAACAGACCATAGAAACAATATAACGCCATACATTATCTGGTTCTTTTCGTTCATGCCAACAGGGCGAGGTTACAGTCGGATGGCGCAGCGATTTCTCGACGGCGGAACGGCGTCGACACTCACAGCCCCCCCGGAGGCCTGGAAGTCCCTCCACGCGCTGCCGCTTACCCCTGCAGCCCCCTTAAAATGCCCACCAGCCTACGGTGTGCTGAGAGTCCAGAACAGCGGCATTTAGCTACATACGCCAATGCGGCCGGCATCAACCACCCTGAGAGGAGGGCATACCCCGAGGCACGTCCGTTGAAACCCACGCCAGGCTCCACTCGCCACAGCAAATTGGCCGACCTCAAGTCCCTGGAGGCAGAAGCTCTTGCTGAGGTAAGCCATTCATAAGCACTGAACATAGCTATTACCACAAGGTCAGTGCAGCAGAGATGTCTGCAGGATGGCAACGCATTGCAGATTTTAATTAACTCAATAATACAGATGCTTTCCTGGGGATATGAACCCATATCCTACTGGTTCTGCGATTGATTCTAACCTAACCTCTGGTGCCAGTCTTAGGAAGTGACAATAATGCACCATGCACAAACACATAATCTGTGTTTAGTAACAGCTGGCTAGGAAATTTGCTTATTTAATGGAAAGCAAATGTTCAAGGCAGGGAGGCTGCCTTTGCAAAGGATGCATTTGTATTCACAAGCCTAATGAAAATGGTCTTCACACTTTGTTATTTATATACACATTTATTAAGGCAGGCTTTGCCAGTGAGGTTTAAAGCATGGAAAATAAAATTAAGCGTAATGTTTTATCTGCTAATCACTCTATGCAACTTGTTATAGCAAGTTTCCGGTGTTAACTTTGAGGCAGCTTGGACTGACGCATATGTCTGAGTCCTGCAGCATCTGCTCTTAACGCCAAACGTTTGGCCTTAATGACAGCATGTCCGGTCTCCTCTCTTTTGTGTTGTGTGCCCGTCAGGATATTGAGAAGACTATGAGCACTGCCCTGTACGAGCTGCGAGAGCTGGAGCGGCAGAACACGGCCAAGCAGGCTCCAGATGTGGTTCTGGACACGCTGGAGCCGCTGAAGTCGAGCACTGAGCTGACCCGTCCGCAGCACACCATCACAATCCGTGACCCGGATGCCGGGGTGCACTGCAGCAGTAATCCCAGTCCAGAAATGATGAGCACATTCAAGCCAGTGCCATCACCCCGACTGCCTGGTGCACAACTAAGGGCCTCCTCTGTCAGGGCCCCACAGATGGCTCAGCAGTGCCCCAGCAGTCCCAGCCCGTCTGGGCGAGGCTGTCCCACTGTCCCACTGCCCAGGAAGATCTTCCCTCGAGACTCCCCTCCGGACTCTGGGCCAGTGTAGGTCAGGTGACACCCATTCAGCCAATCTGGATTGGTTTCCCATCAGATTTGTTTGTTCGGCCGTTATGTTGAATTCTATTTGTCAATTCATAGACGCTACCAAAGTGGGCAGCCTTGGAATATTTCTTGCGCTTTTAGAACCCTTCTTTCTTGAGGTGCCACGTGACTTTGAAATTGTGATTACTAAGCAAATGAAGTCTCCATTGCATTTAAAGCAACAAATAAGACAATTTAAATCATTAGGTTTTGCGGTGTACAGACAGATGAAGTGAGTTTAGCATAACCGCACCGGATAGCTATCGGATCGATTATTTTGTGAATGCCTTTGCAGAATGCAAACGCCCACTGTAGTTCACAGCTTTCAAGTTACGAAATAGTTCATAAATGTAGACAAGCTGACTTGTATCAGTGTTTTGATTGTGTTTGTGGAAAGAAATCCCCTGCAAAGCTTTTTTTGTCAGGTACTATAAAAGACAAAACAGCAAGGTAATGAAATTGCAGGAGTAACATAGCAATAGTAATAAGAAACTTATAAGACATCTGCAATAAAATATAGCTTACTATGGTAATTATGATGTTAGCTAACAGGCAAACGAGAATAATGAAAAGCAAAACTAAATGCAGTAATATGAACCTCGAATCACAGAATGTTTTCAGCTTAATGTAAGTACTCTCTGTTGCTATAATAACTAAGTATCACTGGTATTCATGTGATTTCCTGTTTTATTGTGTGAATATTGCACTTCAACACAAACTCTGTTTGTATAGTGTAACTGCCTGTCCTGACTCAGTCCGTATTCGGTATGTATTGTTTAAACTAGGGTAAATGTCTGCACTTGTCAGATCTTGTTTCGAAAGGTAAATCAATTAGCCTCTTACAGCTTCCTCACAAGTCCTGCACAGCACGCGGTCATATCAACAATGCCAGTTTTGATCTGAATTTGTTGTCACGCTAATATAGTGACAACCATTCCCTGATGTCAACAAATACATAAACAGCGTTTGTAGTAGAGCAAGAACCACATGCATCCATGTACTGGAATAACTGGATAAATGAGATCTATAAAATGCTGTGTGTGTGTAAAGTTATTGGCTATAAGCTGCCCAGTTCACTGTACTATGACTATATATTGCACTCAACTAAAACATGGCTTAATACATCACCAGGAGATTCAGTCAAATGTCCCGTGTCCCATGTCCCAGTTCATTAAGACCCCCCCCCCCCCAATAAATAAAAATAAATGCTCCTGTCCTGTTAGGATAAACCATTATGGATGTTGCTAATCTCAAGTGCCTATTTAAGTCAGGTGATACAAGTTAAGTTTAACTTTGTAGATTTACTGCACATAAATTCTCATCCCACATGCATGTGACATTGCCATTGTATGACACCTACACCCCTGTATTGTTTTATGGCAGGAAGAGTCTATCCTATGTTTGCATTAGATTTATATATATACACACACACGTTGGCCTTGTTGGTTCAGCAAGAATCCATTTCCAGCATTTCATTTGGGCTTGTCAGCCATTGTCTTAGTGACAACACTTCCCCCTTGTGGTGAGAAAAAAAATGGCACCCAAAAGAACAAGTAGAAGCTTATCTGTAAATTAAACCTTTGTTTTCTCCTCTGGGTTCAGTTCTATTAGGGTAGCTCCCCTGTTCCTACAGGGCCCAATAGAACCACCTTTTATTTGAAACATATAGGTAGGGAGGTACCTGATACTTTATTGTTCTCCTGGCAGGTGTGACTTAATAATGTTTTATAAGATTTGTTCATGGGCAATCCTTAAATGAAGTCCTGTCTAAAAATATTATAGTCAAACACAAATGCTGCATAGTTGTATTCATATATAGAAAATATCTACGCGTCATATCTACAAAAAATGAAAATGATGCATTTTAATTCTGCGGCATTTCGTCAAATTTTGTTGAATGTCCCCTCAAGGTAAAACCTCAAGATGGCGATATTGCTTTAAAAGACATAGACAGTCTCTGATATGCACAGTATAAGAGTCATTAGACATAGACAGGCGCTGACATATGCAGTATAAGAATCATAAGACATAGGTGCTGAAATACACAGTATTAGAATTATAAGACATAGACAGGTGCTGACATACACAGTATTGGAATTATAAGACATAGACAGGCTCTGACATGCACAGGATAAGAATATTTTTCATCTTTCATTGTCGTTTTCATTACAGCCAGCATTTCCCTTTCAGGGAGGACTCAGAGAATCAATAGTGTCTATAGTACTGCACATACCAATGTAGTAAGACTAATTTAGCAAAACTAAATATCAATACCTCTGCATTTTTCGTAGATCTGGGTTCAGTATAATAATTTGGTTCTGCATGACTCAGGTAACATCATCACCTACCTGTACTGTATCCATTAAATCCCTTTGTGGAAAATGACGACAATACATGGTTTAGCACATTATTAGTCATTATATCTGAATAAGAGCCTGCTATGGTTCAAATTCAAAATTTAATTTATCATGTTTTTCATGTTCCATTTATGAAATAAATCGTTCGGTAAACTCATTACAAAGTCTTTGTTCCCCTTACAAAATAATAGTATATTTAAATTGCACTCCAAAAGTAGTCAGATTCATTATATTTATTCTTAGTATTGCCAATTTATTTCCCAAGATAATAAATTGGCAGGACTATGCTATTATTTATTATGCCCAGAGTAACAATTTCAAGAGTTATACTTGATCTTGCTTCTCTTCTTACCTCCAAAAGGATTTAATCTATTTACAGCTGATGAAAGTAAGTACTCAATAAAATGTAACTGCCTATATGCATAGGGCAGGGTTCTTCAAATCTGGACCTTGATTCCAAATCCAGGCTGTGTTTTCAGTTCTCCCAGGTACAGTAGTTAGTTTAATAATTACTGATTCTGATTGGTCAGAGGCTTCACACCTGACTGACAGAGAACTTAACTAATAGCTCAGAGTTGTTAAAATCTTATCTAGCTCTGATTTAAACGAACCCAAGGATTCAGCTTGCACTACGTTATCAGGAAGACTATTCCATACTCTGACTACACGCTGTGTAAAGAAGTGCTTCCTTAAATCCAGTTTGAAATGTTCTCCCGCTAATTTCCACCTATGGCCACGAGTTCTTGTATTTGAACTAATGCTGAAGTAACTATTCGGTTGAACAGCATCCAAACCTGTTAGAATCTTATAGACCTGGATCATGTCCCCCCTCAGTCTCCTTTGCTTGAGGCTGAACAGATTTAGCTCAACTAACCTTTCCTCGTATGACATTCCTCTAAGACCAGGAATCATTCTTGTGGCCCTACGCTGCACCTTTTCTAAGGCCGCAATGTCCTTTTTAAGATATGGTGACCAAACCTGCACACAATATTCTAGGTGAGGTCTCACCAAGGAATTGTATAATCTTAGCATTACCTCCCTTGACTTAAACTCCACACACCTGGAGATATACCCCAACATCCTATTGGCCTTTTTTATTGCTTCCCCGCACTGGCGAGAATGAGACATGGAAGCATCAACATACACACCAAGGTCTTTCTCATAATCAGCTACCTTTATTTCAGTAGGTCCCATAAAATACTGTACCTGTACTTTATATTTCTGCTCCCTACATGGAGTACCTTACATTTGTCTATGTTAAATTTCATCTGCCAGGTGTCGGCCCAGTCACTAATGAAATTAAGATCCCGCTGTAGCTGCTGAGCCGCTAGTTCAGTATCTGCTACACCACCCACCTTGGTGTCATCTGCAAATTTCACCAGTTTACTGTATATATTGGTGTCTATATCATTTATGTAAATTAGGAACAATAGTGGTCCTAAAATTGAACCCTGCGGTACCCCACTATGAACGCAGGCCCACTGTGACATTGTGCCTCTTATAACTACTCGCTGCTTCCTATCCGTTAACCAGTTATCAATCCAGGTTTATATTATTATATTATATTATATTATATCCTCCTGAGACCCCACCCATTCATTTATGTCCATTGTAGTGGACATTTTGTTTTGCATCTATCTTTTCACTGATGTAAGGAAACATATTTATTCCTGTTGTACACTAAAGAGGACATGCTGTGAAATTAAAAATAAAAATAAATTTGAAAAAATCTAAATTGTAAGATGTCTCATTTCCTCCAAAGACAAATAACCTACAATTGAAGGACACTTTTTTCCTTGGGTCTCAGGAGGATATTACTGGTGTGTTCATGTGGGACATTGACACTTTGCGGGATGCCCCTGAAGTTGCTGGACGTCACGGCCGGGCTATACACTGGTACTGTGAGTGCTGTGCAGTGTGGAGGCAGAACCTCTGCGTTCTTCCCAGTGGATTCTGAGGTTCATCAGGGGTGTGTCCTTGCTGCTACTCTGTTCAATGCTTGCATGGACTGGATGTTGGGCAAGGTTGTGGGTTCCAGCATCAGTGTGGCATCTGTTGATGAGGAAAGATTTGCCAATCTTGTCATTTCGTTTCATTTCATTTCAATAAAATTCAATTTCAATTCAAATTAATTTATACAGTGCATTTTCACAGTATTACATTGTCTCAAAGCTCTTTACATTGTTTCTACCCAAAGCCCCCAGAGAGCCAGCCAGAGGCAACAGTGGCAAGGAAAAATTCCCTAATAGGAAGAAACTTTGGGAGGAACCAGACTCAAAGGGGGAGCCCATCCTCCTAGGGTTGGCAGCAAAGTAAAACTGTGTAGAGTCCAGGTATAAATGCAGAAGGTCCAGCTATTGTCAGGACAGGCAGGTGAGGAAGCTGCTTCCTTCGGTGGGAAGGATGGGTAGTGTGGTCCAGCAGCAAGCAGGGAAGGGCAGCAGATGTGTCGTCAGGCTGGGTGGGCAGGCAAGCAGGCAGGGAACTGCCCACCATCAGGAGCTCCAAGACAGAATTGAACAGTACTAGTGCATTAATAAAACTGTGACAAATAGTTGAAATTATATGAGGTATTTTGTAGTGTGGTATGGAGATAAGGAGGTTCCGGCAGATCTAATTAACTATGGCGGCTTAACTAGGAGGGAGAGGTGGGAGAGAACACAGGCATCAGTAATCCCTGAGCACCTGCACTCCAACAACACATGATACACATGAAGCCAAAGTGACAGTATTGGACACCCAGTTCTTCCTAAGTCAGTGACACTGATCACCAATCAACCCTGTGCCACAGACTGTAAACCTAGTTGGGGGTGAGAACTAGCTATCAGCTTTGTCATCATATGCTAGACAAAACAAGTGCATTTTTAGCCTTGACTTAAATATCAGGAGTGAGTCTGAATCTCAGGCGTTTGCTGGTAGACTATTCCTTAACTTTGGAGCCCAGTAGCAAAATGCTCTGTAACCAAATGGCAAATTTTCCAGGCACGGCCAGGTAGCCCACCCCTTTAGAGCAATGAAAACAAGGGGGATTATATGGAACCAGTAAACTGCTAATGTTCTCTGGTGCTAGACTATTCAGTGCCTTATAGGTGAGCAGTAGTACCTTGTAGGTAATTCAAGACCTAACCTGAAGTCAGTGGAGCGAGGCCAGCACAAGACTGATATGCACATGCTTCCTAGTCCTTGTTAGGACTCTTGTCGATCTCCTCCAACGATGCTGTGATTTTCACAGAGTCAATAAGACTCTGATGGGGGCTTTTGAAAGACTGAGTGAGGAGACAGTGGTGACCTCATTGAGAGTTTCACTTACCTTAGCAGCAACATTCCTATGAAGTCAGTAGATGGATTGGGAGAGTGTGGGAGGTCATGAGGCCCCTGGAAAGGAATGTATGGCGCTCTCAATATCTTTGTGAGAGGATGAAGGTCCAAGTCTTTAGAGTCCTGGTGCTCCCTGTTTTGCTGTATGGCTGCAAGACGCGAACGCTATCCAGATGAAGGATGGACTCCTTTGGTACTGAGTCTCTACAAAGAATCCTTGGTTACCGCTGGTTTAACTTTGTGTTGAACAAGCAGTTGCTCAGAAAGTCCTGAATGAGGCACAGTACCTGCAGGAGGGTGATCTGGCTCGGAGGATTTTCATTGCTGGGGACCCGAGCAGCTGGACCAAGCCAAGGAGACGCCCAGGTAACACCTGGCTGAGGCACTTCCTGAGGGTAGGACTGGGCTGCGTGTCAGACTGGGGGTGTCAACCAGGCTTCTGGGTTTCGTCGTGTGGTGGTACCACTGCATGCTCTCCAACTTGACCTGACTGTTATTGTCAATGTCTGCCAAAGCAGGTTGTTCAACCTCTATATGCTCATCATTATACTGGAATAACTTGAGATGGTGCATTGGGATGCTTAAAAAAAATTGGAATTTCTACATTATTGCACTGCAGGCAGTTTCCACTTGAGCATCATATTTGGCCTTCATAACAGGGATATACAGTACAAAAGGTTTGTATTAGAGTCCAAGACCCTTCTAACAGAAATACATTTACCAGTTGGGGAGGGATGCACAAAAAGCAGAATTAATCACAAAGCCTGAGTTCGGAAGCCTGAGTTCAGCAGTGCACTCCTTGTAAAAATATGAACACAAATGCGAATCCCATCTGCCAGCCTAGATATCAAGATATTCCAGTGTGACCATACTTCCCTCCTGGCTCCAGATAAGGATGAAATGCTCCACAGATTATACGTAATCTACTCAAGCATGCTATGTAGTAAGCAGTACAGCCTATCAGATGACCTGGAATGGTAACACTTCTTGGCTGATATGGATTACTTTGCTATATAACAGACCAGTGTTTCCTAATCCGGTTCTCGGGAACCCACAGACAGTCTACATTTTTGCTCCCTCCCAGCTCCTAGTAGGAGCAAAAATGTGTACTGTCTGGCAGGGAGCTTGGAGGAACAAAAACTTACTTAAAAAAAAATGCTGTTTGTATTCTGTTTGCTAATTGTTTAAATAACTAGTGCAAGCAGTGGAATCCAATCATAATTCAAAAAAAGTGAATTGATGGTGAATTGATGGCTGTAAATTGTTCGTAGTGTGTAATGTATGTGTGATTGTTTTGCAATGGTCTGACATTCCATTCAGGGTGTTCCACTCTCTTACAGCGTATGTTTGCTGGGATAGGCTCCAGGATAATCATGAACTACTGTATCTGAATTGGACTGGCAGTTTGAACAATGAATAAACTGAATGTAGAAGGTACAGATTTGGGGAAAGAAGTGGACCTTAACTTATATCAAATTACCTCCTTAAGCATTCTGTTATATCACAAAATGGCAAAGTAAGGTAGTAGCTATACAGTGTATAATAAGAAAATATTCTAGAATAATATACTGTAAAAAAAGTCATACTTGTAATTTGAAGGCATGGATCCTTCCCAGCCGTGTGCCTTTGAAAACCGGAAATATTATTATATCGCAACGTTTAATCTGCACTTTCTGCTCTTTTATCATCATTTTTTTTTTCAAATTTTATGCACGT